GCCACTTTCAAGGAGCGGGGACTCTAATCCGGAAATTTCTAAGAAATCCCGCTACGACCTCCGACGAGCCATCAAGCAGGTAAAGCGTCATTACAGTATTAAGATCGAATCCTACTACGCCGGCTCTGAAGCCCGTTGGATGTGGCAGGGCTTGCAAACTATCACAGATTACAAAGGGAAACCGAGCCGTGAGCTGCACAGTGACGCTAGCCTACCAGACTAGCTAAATGCTTCTAGGCAAGCAACACTGAACCATGCATGAGAGCACCAGCTGTTCTGGACGACTGTGTGATCACGCTCTCCATAGCCAATGTGAGTAAGACATTTAAACAGGCTAACAGAAGGATTACCAGGACACGCAATCAGAGCATGCGCTGACCAGCTGGCAAGTGTCTTCAATGACATTTTCAACCTCTCCCTGACCCAGTTTGTAGTACCTACATGTTTCAAGCAGACCATCACAGTCCCTGTGCCCAAGAATGCCAAGGTAACCTGCCTAAATGACTGTCACCCCGTAGCACTCACATCTGTAGCCATGAAAAGCTTTGAAAGGCTGGTCATGGCTCACATCAACACCATCATCCCAGACACCCTGGACCCACTCCAATTCTCATACCGCCCCAACAGATCCACAGATGACGAAATCTCTATTCCACACTGCCCTCTCCCACCTGGACAATAGGAACACCTACAGCTGACTGCAGCTCAGCATTCAACACCATAGCTCATCACTAAGCCCTCTAAGCTCATCACTAATCTAAGGAATCTGGGACTGAACACCTCCCTTTGCAAGTGGACCAAGGACTTCCTGACATATGTAATGCTGACCCTCAACACGGGGGCCCCTCAGGGGTGCGTGCTTAGTCCTCTCCTGTACTCCCTATTCGCTCACGACTGTGTGGCTGTACACGACACCATCATGAAGTTTGCTGACGACAAGACGGTGGTAGTTCTGATCACCGATGATGATGAGACAGCCTATAGGGAGGAGGTCAGAGACCTGGCAGTGTGGTGCCAGGACAACAACCTCTCCCTCAATGTCAACAAGACAAAGGAGATGATCGTGGACTACAGTAAACAGAGGGCCGAGCACGCCCCCATTCACATTGATGGGGCTGTAGTGGAGCAGGTCGAGAGCGTCAAGTTCCTTGGTGTCCACATCGCTAAGGATCTATCATGGTACACACACACTAACACAGCCGTGAAGAGGGCATGACAACACCTCTTCCCCCTCAGGAGGCTGAAAAGATTTGGCATGGGCCCTCAGATCGTCAAAAAGTTATACAGCTGCATCATTGAGAGCATCTTGACTGGTTGCATCACCGCCTGGTATGGCAACTGCTTGGCCTCCGACCGCAAGGTGCTACAGAGGGTAGTGCGTATGGCCCAGTACATCACTGGGGCCGCGCTCCCTGCCATCCAGGACCTCTATACCAGGCGGTGTCAGAGGAAGGCCCTAAAGATTGTCAACGTCTCCAGCCACCCAAGTCATAGACTGTTCTCTCTGCTACCGCACGGCAAGCGCTACCGATGCACCAAGTCTGGAACCAACAGGAGCCTGAACAGCTTTTACCCCCAAGCCATAAGACTGCTAAATAGTTAACCAAATAGCTACCCGGACTATCTGCATTGACCCTTTTTGCAGTAACTTTTTTGACTCATCACATACACTGATGCTACTGTTTATTATCTATCCTGTTGCCTAGTCACTTTATTCCTAGTTATATGTACATATCTACCTCAAAGACCTTGTACCCCTGCACATCGACTCGGTACAGTTACCCTGTGTATATAGCTAAGTTATCGTTACTCACTGTGTATTTATTATTACGTGTTATTACTTTTTTTGGTTTTAATTTTTCTTTCTCTGTGCATTGTTGGGGAGGGCCCGTAAGCATTTCACTGTTAGTGAAACCCTAACCCTAACCTGTTGTTTACAAAGCATGTGATGAATAACATTTTATTTGACAGTTAAATTCATCAATAAAAATTTAAAAAATGCCAAGGCGGCCGTGGTGCAGATCAGAAGTAGCCCAAAAACCTGCAAGCCGTGACCAATAATACATTTTCACCCGTAACATCATTTTCAAAGTAGCCCAATTTGCAGGATAAACATGGACATGGCAACCCTACCTACCTGTTACTAGCTACATAAATAGGAATGTAAGAATCGTAAAAGGGAAACGCTGCCCTAAGGCCTGAGCAGACATTGCCTCCTACACTTTACCACTGTCTGGGATTCAGCTAGCTGGGGGCTTTACATTTAGATTTTCAGTCATTTAGCAGACGCTCTTATCCAGAGCAACTTACAGGAGCAATTAGGGTTAAGTGCCTTGCTCAAGGGCACATCGACAGATTTTTCACCTAGTCGGCTCTGGGATTAGAACTAGCGACCGTTCGGTTACTGGCACAACGCTCTTACCCGCTAAGCTACCTGCCGCTTTAATAATTTTAAGTTTCAAATTCCATGGGGTGATGTCAGAGTTGGACATCCCAAGGATTCCAGATAGCAGGGACCCTTTTTGAAATGAACTTTAAAACATCCAATCACATGTTTATAGCTTGCTGGTAGCCAATCACTCGAGTCCATGTCTTATGACATTTTTATCATGGCGGTGACATGGTTATAGCCAGTGGTGGGAAAAGTATATAATTGTCATACTTGAATAAAAGTAAAGATACCTTAATAGAAGATGACTCAAGTAAAAGTGAAAGTCACCCAGTAAAATACTATTTGAGTAAAAGTCTAAAAGTATTTGGTTTTAAATATACTTAAGTATCAAGAGTAAAAGTATAAATTATTTCAAATTCCTTATATTAAGCAAACCAGACGGCACCATTTTCGTGTTTTTTATTTATTTACGGATAGCCAAGGGCACACTTCAACACTCAGACATCATTTACAAACGAAGCATGTGTGTTTAGTGAGTCCGCCAGATCAGAGGCAGTAGATGACCAGGGATGTTCTCTTGATAAGTGTGTGAATTGGACCATTTTCCTGTCCTGCTAAGCATGCAAAATGTAATGAATACTTTTGCTTGTCAGGGAAAATGTATGGAGTAAAAAGTACATTATTTTCAGTTCTTGTATTTTGGGATTCAAAATAAAGTTTACCGGAGATATTTTCCAACTGTACTGAGAAGGTTTAGGTTTCCAAAATATAAAGTATTAAAGATGTAGAACCTCTTGTCATGTTATTTTTCTTTGTTTCTTCAAAAAAGCGAAATGAGATCTCAATTTCCTTTGCGCATAATCTCCTCTATTTACTGTTCACTACTTTCATCACTTACCATCATAATCCCCCCTATTTTACTTTGTTGCGTGCATGAGCTCTGAGGCGCTGAAAACCAGCAAGAATAAGGCCTTGACCTCGGCAATTTCCCTTCAGAATAAAAGTCCCACAAGTAAGATTTTTCTTTGTCGAAATTCGTAACATTTTATTAGGAAATGTTAGCAGACTTAGAATTTTGTTTGACTATATAAAAAATGGAAAAAAGTTAATAGGCTTAGTAGCACAAATAATATTATAGCATTGCCAATATTTTAACAGCATTGGAAGTAATGATTACTAGATAGTTATTATGGTAACACCAGAAATTCAAACAACAAAACATTATTTATAATGCTACTGTTAATAATAATAATAATAATAATAATAATAATAATAATAATAATAATATAGTAGGTCTATAGGCAGCTAAGGTCATAAAAAATAGGATAATAAATATAATTGTACAAAAAAATTATAATATAAATATTATATAATTATTATAATAAACTTTAGAAAACACATTTAAATCGTTTTTCATATTAGTGGGTTTTTCATATTAGACATACATATTGCACCGTACAAATTTCCTGTATGTTGTGTCGCAGTAAAAGGGGGGATTCATTCTACTCAGGAGCACTTCTACTTTCCAAATCCACAGAGTTTACACCCAGAGGAGTGCCACTGATCATTTTGTGTTCCTTAAAAAGTGACCAATCAGCTTAAATTCAGTACGTTTTTCATATTGGACACAAATATTGCACCGTACATAATCGATTGTGTGTCCATAAAACCAGGGTCCAGCCTACTCACTAGAGTCCATAGCATACAAAACAGATTAGTTTTAACAAAACGTTTGCACGGGGCCCCTGGACACTATGGGACGGTTTCTCAGACACAGATTTAACCTAGTTCTGGACTAAGAAGCACTTTCAATGGAGAATCGTCATTGAACAAGCTTTTTAGTCCAGGACTAGGTTTATATCTAAACGATCCATTGTGTCCATAAAACCAGGGTCCAGTCTGCACTTTTGTACTGGCACTTTAACTCTCTGCTGACTGACTAATTCAGGACTATATCTTAATTACAAAGGAATACATTTATCATTTTATCTTATTCTTCATTTGCTTGCAGTATGAAATAAAACGCCATTCCATACCAGACTTGCACTCTTGGATTGCCTTATAATGGAGGTGCCAAATTCCGACTATTAGCAGGTGATTATGTGAGAAGCTAACTGCTTAAGCGAAACAATGGAAACAATGTGATCAGTGGATCACCTGTAAATGACCTACATTATCCTAATGATGATGATTGGAATTTAGCTGATTGGACACTCTTTAAGGGCCGAAAAATGAGCACCGACGATCCTCTGGGTGTAAACTCTGTGGATTTGTAAACTACACGTGTTCCTGAGTAGAATGGAACCCCCTTTTACTGCTACACGATGTACAGGAAATTGTGTATGGTGCAATAAATGGTAGGAGTACACACAAACAACAACATTGTTGACCATTTAGGCTTGAAAAAATAAACAAATAAATCACATAATATCGAATAGAAGTATTTTGAATTATTCTTTGTATGATAACAAGAATATAATATATAGATAATTCTGGACATTTTCGCCCTAATTATTCGTTCACTAAGTATACATGACAGGACTCTTATTCTGAAGGATTACAAAAAATCCGTGACCCGGAAGTACTTAGTTATCCTTGCCTGCTTCACAGTTGTGCATGCAGCGATTAGCACAGAACTACACGGGTCGAATTGTTCCTAGCATATTCAAACCATATTATTAGTCACCAGTAGCATATTACTTAGATACAGCTTTTAAATATTCTGCAGAAGTCAAACAGAGCTCTGTTTAGTTTTCGCAAACATCTGAAAATGTTTAGCAGTGTTTCGCTCCGGGCTCAGATCGCTTCCATCATAGAGGTACTTTCTAAAACTGCGGTTGCAGAAATTAGCAAAGTAGTCGACGATGGCATAGTTGTGTTACGTGTGGAAATGTGTCAACGGGAAAATGAAATCAACGTCCTGAAAAAGACTGTACAACAACTTGACAGCGAGCTTCGAAGAGCTCGAGGGATTCAAGCTCGAAAACGCATTCATCATGGTCGATCAGTTGCTGCTGGGAATCTTGGGAGAGGTGGGTCGACGTAGTAGTACTAACTCACTTTTACTATCAATCAATAGCTAACTGTGCACGTAACATTAGTCTTCTAACAATGTTACCATTTCGCAGGGAAACAATGTAGCTAGGCTTATTTAGTCAGCCTACTCACGTTCTCAGGGCTAATAATTTTCAGTCTGAAGGCCTCGTCCTCCAGTCATATCTCTGACTGCCCAATGGGATGGGAGATGAATAGGAAAGACTATCATTATAACCAACTCAGTGGCCTTGTGGTCAGAGTGCAGGCCTACGCCCTGAGATTGGAAGGTTGGGGGTTTGAACAAGTATGAAAAAATGTATGCACTCTGGATAGGAGCGTCTGCTAAATGACTAAAATGTAAGTGATGTTTATATATAGTCCTGGATTGCTAATGTTATGTATTGGCCATCTAAAAAAAAACTATACTTTAAGGAAAACGTTTTTATGTATTTTATTTTTATTTTTATGTTTAGCTCACATAATATAATGTAAAAGTATGAATTAAGTAATGTAGACATTAATAAATGCGTTTCTATACCTTCCAAAATATTTCTTTACAATGGTGAGGGGATTGCCAAGATGGAGGCACAGTGGCTTCAACACAGCGCCCCCTGTCAGTCATCTAGTGTATTATACAAGTCATTGATTTGAACACAGACTCTGTTTGGTACTTGCATTAAGGAGATGGATTGGGAGTAAGGCCCTACAACAGACTAGTATCCTGTCCAGGGGGTGTACTCAGTGGTTGATTTGGGAGATGGGTGGTCCCTAGTTTGGGGGGCGCGCTGGGGGTCGCGGAGGGACCTAACAGTATTGGGGGGGAGAATGACTGTGAGAAGGTCAGTTCTGGTGATTTTTTAAAGGGAAATCCTACTCCAAAATAAAATGATACTGACATCTCAAATATAATTTCCCCCTCCAGAAATGAGCCCAATATAACATATTGGTCTATTTTGATTACTATTAAAACAAACGATGAAGGATTTTGATGACTGAATGTTTCCACAGGGCCTGGTAAAAGCGGTACCACTTGTGTGGGGAGGACGTCGCTTGAGAAACTGCAGCCTGAGGAATATGGTAATGAAAAGGATGAAGGCGTTCGACCTGCGGATGAGACTCCAGTGAAGACTGAGCCAGGAGAGGAGGAGGGTGACCAGGAAGAGCACACTGCAGGGAGAAAAGACAAGGATCATCTGGATGCTGAACTGTCAACGTACGAGAGAGTCAGCCAGCTGTGGATGTCTAGTACACAAGAAGACAATGATATGGAGACGAGCAATTCAGAGGATTTTAATAACAGTTCAGGTCGGAACCCTCGGTGTCTCCCTGATCACTCTCCTGGAACCTCCGGAATGGCGGAAGCATCATGCAGCAGTGTTTCGTTTCCAGGGAAACCATATTTAGAGTCAGATGTCAGACAGGATATGATTTTACAGCTCAGACAGCAACAACATTATCGTCAGTCAGACGCGCTCAGGAGAACAAGCGACGGCACAGTAAAGTCAAACCCAGACCCTCAAAGCGTATTCGGTTTTGGCCCTAATTATAATACCGCAAGGAGAGCGAGGACCAATAGGTTTTGCCAGGTTAATAAACACTTCATTTGCACACTGTGTGGAAAGAGTTTTGAACGTTACAGTCATCTTGAAAGACATCTGCGAATTCATACGGGTGAGAAACCGTACAGTTGTGACATTTGTGGAAGGTGTTTCAACCAGAAGGGTAGCCTCAAAGGGCATCTGAAGACTCACAGAGGTAAGATACTAGAATCACTAGATAATGACATCAGATAGTACGCTAGTTATTATAGGGCATAAATAATTCCATGTATGCATCCCATATGGCACCCTTTTCCCTATGTAGTGCACTACTTTTGACCAGAGCCCATAGGGTGCTATTTGGGACACAACCGATGCATCAATATTTTATCAATCAAATGTGATCTTTCCACACAGTATCGATGGACGGACTAGCTAACACAGAGGAGAAGCCTTCCCTGGATAGACGTCAGTCTGAGGAAGAGCGGTGCAACGAAAAGGACGAAGTGATCCAAACTGCTCCTGAAATGCCTATGAAGTCTGAGCCAGGGGAGGAGAAGGATGCATCCCAGATACTGGATCATAAAGCAGAAGAACAGACTGCAGGGAGAGCAGAACATCAACTGGATGAGGAACTGTCAATGTACGAGAGAGACAGCCAGCCGTGGATGTCCGGTTCACAAGCAGACAATGATATAGAGACAAGCAATTCAGAATATTTCAGCAGTTCAGGTCAGAACTCCCAGTGTCTCACTGATCACTCTCCTGTACCTCCTGTCCCAGGTATGGCGGCGGCGTCATGCAGCAGTGCTTCATTTCCAGGGAAACCATATGTAGATGTCAGAGAGGATATGATTTTACGGGTCGGACAGCAACATTATGGACCTTCAGACACACTCTTGATAGCAAGTGACGGGACAGTACAGCCAAACTCACAGGGCATGGACGGGGCTTCTCTGAACCATCAGCCCATCTTCTCTGGTTTTCCAAGGAAAGTTAAAACCTTCCAAGGAGTCACCAAGGACAAGAAGTGCTTCATCTGCTCATTCTGTGGGAAAGTTTTTGAGCGTGTTGGTCATCTGGAAAGGCACCAGCGAATTCATACGGGTGAGAAACCGTACAGTTGTGACATATGTGGAAGGCGTTTCAACCAGAAGGGTAGCCTCAAAGGGCATCTGAAAACTCACAGAGGTAAGAGACGAGAATAATATTGATTACATTTACATTTACATTTTAGTCATTTAGCAGACGCTCTTAACCAGAGCGACTTACAGGAGCAATTAGGGTTAAGTGCCTTGCTCAAGGGCACATTAACGTCATTTAGCAGACGCTCTTAGCCAGAGCGACTCACAAATTGGTGCGTTCACCCTATAGCCAGTGGGATAACCACTTTACAATTTGGGGGGGGGGGGGGGTTAGAAGGAATACTTTAGCCTATCCCAGGTATTCCTTAAAGAGGTGGGGTTTCAAATGTCTCCGGAAGGTGGTGAGTGACTCCGCTGTCCTGGCGTCGTGAGGGAGCTTGTTCCACCATTGGGGTGCCAGAGCAGCGAACAGTTTTGACTGGGCTGAGGGGGAGCTGTGCTTCCGCAGAGGAAGGGGAGCCAGCAGGCCAGAGGTGGATGAACGCAATGTCCTCGTTTGGGTGTAGGGACTGATCAGAGCCTGAAGGTACAGGGGTGCCGTTCCCCTCACTGCTCCAAAGGCAAGCACCATGGTCTTGTAGCGGATGCGAGCTTCAATTGGAAGCCAGTGGAGTGTGCGGAGGAGGGGGGTGACGTGAGAGAACTTGGGAAGGTTGAACACCAGACGGGCTGCGGCATTCTGGATGAGTTGTAGGGGTTTAATGGCACAGGCAGGGAGCCCAGCCAACAGCGAGTTGCAGTAGTCCAGACGGGAGATGACAAGTGCCTGGACCAGGACCTGCGCCGCTTCCTGTGTAAGGCAGGGTCGCACTCTCCGAATGTTGTAGAGCATGAACCTGCAGGAGCGGGTCACCGCCTTGATGTTGGCGGAGAACGACAGGGTGTTGTCCAGGGTCACGCCTAGGCTCTTCGCACTCTGGGAGGAGGACACAGCGGAGTTGTCTACCGTGATGGCGAGATCATGGAACGGGCAGTCCTTCCCGGGGAGGAAGAGCAGCTCCGTCTTGCCAGGGTTCAGCTTGAGGTGGTGATCCGTCATCCATACTGATATGTCTGCCAGACATGCAGAGATGCGATTCGCCACCTGGTGATCAGAAGGGGGAAAGGAGAAGATTAGTTGTGTATCGTCAGCGTAGCAATGATAGGAAAGGCCATGTGAGGATATGACAGAGCCAAGTGACTTGGTGTATAGGGAGAAAAGGAGAGGGCCCAAAACCGATCCCTGGGGGACACCAGTGGTGAGAGCACGTGGTGCGGAGACAGCTTCCCGCCACGCCACTTGGTAGGAGCGACCGGTCAGGTAGGACGCAATCCAGGAGTGAGCCGCGCCGGAGATGCCCATTTCGGAGAGGGTGGAGAGGAGGATCTGATGGTTCACAGTATCAAAGGCAGCAGACAGATCTAGAAGGACAAGAGCAGAGGAGAGAGAGTTAGCTTTAGCAGTGCGGAGAGTCTCTGTGACACAGAGAAGAGCAGTCTCAGTTGAATGACCAGTCCTGAAACCTGATTGGTTTGGATCAAGAAGGTCATTCTGAGAGAGATAGCAAGAGAGTTGGCTAAAGACGGCACGCTCAATAGTTTTGGAAAGAAAAGAAAGAAGGGATACTGGTCTGTAGTTGTTGACATCAGTGGGGTCGAGTGTTGGTTTTTTGAGAAGGGGAGTAACTCTCGCTCTCTTGAAGACGGAAGGGACATGGCCAGCGGTCAAGGATGAGTTGATCAGCGAGGTGAGGTAGGGGAGAAGGTCACCGGAGATGGTCTGGAGAAGGGAGGAGGGGATGGGGTCAAGCGGGCAGGTTGTTGGGCGGCCTGCAGTCACAAGTCGCAGGATCTTATCTGGAGAGAGAGGGGAGAAAGAAGTCAAAGCATAGGGTAGGGCAGTGTGAGCAGGACCAGCAGTGTCATTAGGCTTAACAAACAAGGATCGGATGTCGTCAACCTTCTTTTCAAAGTGGTTGACGAAGTCATCCACAGAGAGAGAGGAGGGGGGGAGGGGGGGGGGGGAGGATTCAGGAGGGAGGAAAATGTGGCAAAGAGCTTCCTAGGGTTAGGGGCAGATGCTTGGAATTTAGAGTGGTAGAAGGTGGCCTTAGCAGCAGAAACAGATGAAGAAAATGTAGAGAGGAGGGAGTGAAAAGATGCCAGGTCGGCAGGGAATTTAGTTTTCTTCCATTTCCGCTCCGCTGCCCGGAGCTCTGTTCTGTGAGCTCGCAATGAGTCATCAAGCCACGGAGCTGGAGGGGAGGACCGAGCCGGCCGTGAGGATAGGGGACACAGAGAGTCAAAGGATGCAGAAAGGGAGGAGAGGAGGGTTGAGGAGGCAGAATCAGGAGATTGGAGGGAGAAGGATTGAGCAGAGGGAAGAGATGATAGGATGGAAGAGGAGAGAGTAGTGGGAGAGAGAGAGCGAAGGTTGCGGCGGCGCATTACCATCTGTGTAGGGGCAGAGTGAGTAGTGTGGGAGGAGAGTGAGAGAGAAAAGGAAACAAAGTAGTGGTCGGAGACTTGGAGGGGAGTTGCAGTGAGATTAGTAGAGGAGCAGCATCTAGTGAAGATGAGGTCAAGCGTATTGCCTGCCTTGTGAGTAGGGGGGGACGGTGAGAGGGTGAGGTCAAAAGAGGAGAGGAGTGGAAAGAAGGAGGCAGAGAGAAATGAGTCAAATGTGGACATAGGGAGGTTGAAATCCCCCAAAACTGTGAGGGGTGAGCCATCCTCAGGGAAGGAACTTATCAAGGCGTCAAGCTCATTGATGAACTCTCCAAGGGAACCTGGAGGGCGATAGATGACAAGGATATTAAGCTTAAATGGGCTAGTGACTGTGACAGCATGGAATTCAAATGAGGAGATAGACAGATGGGTTAGGGGAAAAATTGAGAATGTCCACTTGGGAGAGATGAGGATTCCTGTACCACCACCCCTCTGACCAGATGCTCTCGGGGTATGCGAGAACACATGGTCAGACGAGGAGAGAGCAGTAGGAGTAGCGGTGTTTTCAGTGGTGATCCATGTTTCCGTCAGCGCCAGGAAGTCGAGGGACTGGAGGTTGGCATAGGCTGGGATGAAGTCAGCTTTGTTGGCAGCAGAACGGCAGTTCCAGAGGCTGCCTGCGACCTGGAACTCCACGTGGGTGGTGCGTGCAGGGACCACCAAATTGGAGAGGCAGCAGCCACGCGGTGTGGTGCGTTTGTGTAGCCTGTGCAGAGAGGAGAGAACAGGGATAGGCAGAGGCATAGTTGACAGGCTGTAGCAAATGGCTACAAAAATGCAGAGGAGATCGGAATGAAATGGGCTAAGCATCTGGGAGTGGAGAGAGCAGGGCCTCCCTCACCAAATCTTCTAGCTCGGAAACTAAAATTGTTTCACTGAACCACCCGAACAAAAACTCTCCCAACTTCCGCCTTTGGAAATCAGAATTGTTGTGAACCACAGCGGTTCAATGTTTAAAGGAGTAGACTCAACCCACTTTGTTCAGCTAGCCAACTATGACTCCATAGCCAACTAGCAGACTAGCATCCAATAACAATAACACACCGTTTAGCGCCAACACTTGGTCACAACAAACCACCAATATTGTGATATCACACTAAACAGATCATTCGTGTCTGTGTCAAGTTCCTTGTTGTTAAAATTGATGTGTTTTCATACTTTTAATACATGAAAAAGGTTAACTCTTAAGTGCGTAAATCAGTTAATTATTCTGTAATTAACAGACAGTATGCCTGTTATATCATTATATAAGGCTGCGTCCTTAATGGTACCCTATTCCCTTTATAGTGCACTACTTTTCACCTGGGCCCATAGGGATCTGATCAATAGTAGTGCACTACATACAGAATAGGGTGCCATTTGGGACACAAAGTGTTTTCCCGTTCTCTATCAGTGGTTTATGATTAAGTTAAACAGTTCACGTTGGATGATTTACATTGTTTGAATTGCCGTATTGTTGTTAAAATCTATGCTAAAATACTTCATACTCTTTTCCTGTCAAGCAGACGGTGCTGACATGCTAACGGGACAACCTCCGCTTGATGATGAGAAGCCTGACGTTTATCCTAGACCCTCGGAGAACCCAGAGGAACCGACGGATCAGCCCCCACCTGCTGAAGCACAGCCTGTCTGTGGGCACAGTGAGGAGGAGGGCAGGGGGCAGGGCTTGGTGGGGAAAGCGGAGCAAGAGAAACAGTTTGGATCCCAGATACTCAGTCAGTCAGGACATCAACACCAACACACCACAGAGCGACCAGGTTATCAGGACGACCCAGAGTATGTCATGGATGGGAGGGAGACGCAGCTGTGTAGATCTTTCACAGAGAGGCACAGTGATACTGAGTCTGGATCAGTACATCCAGGTTGCTCCTCCGATGTGACAAAGCAGCAGAATTCCCATCCTGTTTCACCCAGTGTCAAATACCATCACAGTCCTTTTGATGGACTGCACCACCACCACCACCAGGGGTTCTATACGTCAGCTTCTAGAGAGGTGGAACTTGAAGACTTGTCTTTTCAGGATGAGGAAGACAAGCTGGATATGATTGAGGAAGAGCAGTATGCAGGGATGGCTCTACATGCAAGGAACAGGGAGGATGCTGATGAGAGAATACTACCCAGGTTTCAGGACCGGGCACCACCACCACCACTTCCTGTAGAGGAGGAAACAGCGATGAGAGAGTACATCACAGAACCAAACTACAGTCAAGAGGGAATTTTATTTGCCCTTGGTATAGACAGTTTTGACAGTACAGAGGGCAGCAGTGCCAGTGCCACCACAGACGACACCAGAAATAGATGTTTCATATGCTCCTTTTGTGGAAAGAGTTTTGATCGCCATAGTCATTTCCAAAGACACCAGCACACTCATACAGGTGAGAAGCCCTACAGCTGTGAGATATGTGGTAAGAGTTTCACTCAGAAGAGCAGCCTGAAAGCTCATCAGAGACTTCATACAGGTTAATCAAGGGCCAAAGAGTCTTGGTTTGCGTTCCGAATGGCACCCTATTCCCTATTTAGTGCACTACTTTTTAGGAAATGGATTGCCATTTGGGATGCACCCTTTGTTTCGTCCTCATCAAAACTCAAATCAACACCAATTAATGAGTATGGGAAATGTGTCTGCTATTGGTAACAAGTTGGTGTTGCAACAATTTAGAAGTACAACTAAATTGTGTTGATAAGATGTTATACACTGCTCAAAAAAATAAAGGGAACACTTAAACAACACAATGTAACTTCAAGTCAATCACACTTCTGTGAAATCAAACTGTCCACTTAGGAAGCAACACTGATTGACAATACATTTCACATGCTGTTGTGCAAATGGAATAGACAACAGGTGGAAATTATAGGCAATTAGCAAGACACCCCCAATAAAGGAGTGGTTCTGCAGGTGGTGACCACTTCTCAGTTCCTATGCTTCCTGGCTGATGTTTTGGTCACTTTTGAATGCTGGCGATGCTTTCACTCTAGTGGTAGCATGAGACGGAGTCTACAACCCACACAAGTGGCTCAGGTAGTGCAGCTCATCCAGGATGGCACATCAATGCGAGCTGTGACAAGAAGGTTTGCTGTGTCTGTCAGCGTAGTGTCCAGAGCATGGAGGCGCTACCAGGAGACAGGCCAGTACATCAGGAGACGTGGAGGAGGCCGTAGGAGGGCAACAACCCAGCAGCAGGACCGCTACCTCCGCCTTTGTGCAAGGAGGAGCAGGAGGAGCACTGCCAGAGCCCTGCAAAATGACCTCCAGCAGGCCACAAATGTGCATGTGTCTGCTCAAACGGTCAGAAACAGACTCCATGAGGGTGGTATGAGGGCCCGACGTCCACAGGTGGGGGTTGTGCTTACAGCCCAACACCGTGCAGATTGGCAAATTCGCCACTGGCGCCCTGTGCTCTTCACAGATGAAAGCAGGTTCACACTGAGCACATGTGACAGACATGACAGAGTCTGGAGACGCCGTGGAGAACGTTCTGCTGCCTGCAACATCCTCCAGCATGACCGGTTTGGCGGTGGGTCAGTCATGGTGTGGAGTGGCATTTCTTTGGGGGGGCCATGGTGGAGAGTTTGGAATCTGATTGATTGCTTCTGTGGACAGGTGTCTTTTATACAGGTAACAGGCTGAGATTAGGAGCACACTCTTAAATGGAGTGCTCCTAATCTCCGCTTGTTACCTCTATAAAAGACACCTGTCCACAGAAGCAATCAATCAATCAATCTGGGACACCTAGGAGCCAGAAATCTTTCTGATTGAGAGGGGTCAAAAACGTATTTCCCTAATTAAAATGCAAATCAATTTATAATTTTTTTTACATGCGTTTTCTTGATTTTGTTGTTGTTATTTTGTCTCTCACTGTTCAAATAAACCTACCATTAAAATTATAGACTGAACATTTCTTTGTCAGTGGGCAAACGTACAAAATCAGCAGGGGATCAAATACTTTTTTAAATTTTTATTATTGAGTATTTTACTCCAGCTATCTTAACGCAGGAAAATCGACCTAATTTATGTTTGCTTTGATTTGTTGTTTTTTTGGTTTCTGCTTGTGTATTTTTAAAATAAATGTAAAATTGTGAACGTCTCAATTTTGTGTGTTCGTCGTTTTACTTATTGACAGTAAAATAAAATGTTTTATAAGAGGATTCCTATTTCTGCCCTTGTACTTACGGTAACAAAAAATTTGACTCATGTTTGAGAAGGTTTTGCCCACCTCCACTAAGGTGTTTTGAATGGGAGGTAGCGGCTCTGTGCAAAGGAAAGAAAATATGTGCCAAGTGTGGAGGGGAACATGATTATGGTGAATGTGGGAACAATGTCAAGGTTCAATGTTGTGATTGGGAACACGGTGCAGCATTTGGTCGATGCCAGGTGCAGAAAGAGGCATGAGAGGCCCAAAGATATCAAATCACTCATAATGTCTCTTATGCAAAGGCTGCAAGGCAGATTGGTGGAACCACTAGGCAGCATGATGGCGTTAATAAGGTTACTCCTGGAATAAGTGGACCTACTGTAGGAAATGTTGCTTATGTTGGTCCAGACACGGTTACGAGGCCTGTTCTGAAATCTTGCTCTCACAAATATGTGTCAAAGGACACCTTGATAGTTAACCAGATAGACTTGATAGCCGTCATTAGAAAGGTTGTCAACATGACTGCACTTGAGGAAAGAAGAACTGCCAAGTTGAAGGTCATTGTGGAAGCAGCAACAGAGTTTTTGGAGTAAGAGATGTTACATTCACCATGATTGTTGATATGTTAACTTCTAATAATACTACTGATTTGAACATCTAAGTATAATGATAATTAGAGTAATGGTTTGTCATCCTTCAGTGGAATGCCAGAAGCCTTATTGCTGACGGTCAGGACTTTAAGAAGTATGTAGTTGATTTAGAGATCAAACCTGATTTGATATGTGTTCAAGAAATGTGGTTTAGACCGCATCTTGATTTTATCATTCCTTGTTATTGTTCAGTGAGATCTGATAGATCAGTTGGACAGTGTGGTGGGTGTGCTACGTTCATAAGGGAAGGTCTTGTATATCATAATATACCTGTCCCATCTGAATATGAATGTGTGATGGTGAAAATCTACAGCGCAGGTAGTAATATTAAGTAGCAACATTTTTACAACCCTTGTCGTCAACTATCTGTAGCGATGTTTGATGAAATATCAGGAGTATTGGGCTCTAGAGAGATATGGTGCATTCAGAAAGTATTCAGACCCCTTGACTTTTTCCACATTTTGTTACGTTACAGCCTTATTCTAACATGTATTAAATGTTTTTTTCCCTCTCATCAATCTACACACAATACCCCATAATGACGAAGCAAAAACGGGTTTTTAGAAATTTTTGCACATTTATTAAAAATAAAAAAACGGAAATATCACATTTCCATATGTATTCAGACCCTTAACTCAGTACTTTGTTGAAGCACCTTTGGCAGCGATTACAGCCTCAAGTCTTCTTGGGTATGATGCTACAAGCTTGGCACACCTGTATTTGGGGAGTTTCTCCCATTCTTCTCTGCAGATCCACTCAAGCTCTGTCAGGTTGGATGGGGAGTGTCGCTGTACAGCTATTTTCAGGTCTCTCCAGAGATGTTCAATTGGGTTCAAGTCCGTTGATGAGTAAAAAAAACGATTTTATCAATTTTAGAATAAGGCTGTAACGTAACAAAATGTGGAAAAGTAAAGGGGTCTGAATACTTTCCGAATACACTGTATGTGCCAGTGAGTGAAGTGGGTGACAAAAGGAAGGTGGTTCCTTGGTGGACTGAAGAGTGCACTGTGGCTAATCGAGAAAGAAATAGGGCTTACAGAGGGTTGCGTAGGAATATGACTCCTGAGAATCTAGTTGATTTCCAAAGGAAGAGAGCTTTAGTATGTAAGTCTGTCAAGAGAAATGCATAGAGACAGTTCTGCTCTACAATAGGCAGGGGTACTGAGCTAGGGGATGTATGGTCTATGTTGAAGAAGATGACTGGAAGAAGCAAGTCCACTCAAATTCCAGTTTTGGTTGTGGGTCAAAGAATGGCCGTAAATTAATGAAATTGTAGACCAGATAGCCAAAAGAGCTTTAAAACTAGATATAATTTATATTAATGTTCCACTGGGTAGAGGTGAGGCCAAATGTAAGATCAGAGCCTTTTTGATGAATGTGTGGCAGAAGAGATGGGACTCTGAGCCCAAGGGCCGGCATTTATATGCCCTCCAAAGAAAGGTTGGTAGACCAAGATTCAAAGGTCAGATTAGGAAGGAAGAGGTGGTGTTTACGTGACATGTCTAGGACATTGTACATTGAACTCGTCATTACATCTGGTTGGCAAGCATGTGACTGGTTTGTGTCTGGAGTGTATGGTCGATGAAATGATGGAGCATGAGTTGTTATATTGTTGTAAGTAATCCAGGCTCTGTCATAGCCGGCCGCGACCGGGAGACCCATGGGGCGGCGCACAATTGGCCCAGCGTCGTCCAGGGTAGGGGAGGGAATGGCCGGCAGGGATGTAGCTCAGTTGGTAGAGCATGGCGTTTGCAACGCCAGGGTTGTGGGTTCGATTCCCACGGGGGGCCAGTATGAAAAAAAAAAAAAATAATAATAATAATGTATGCACTCACTAACTGTAAGTCGCTCTGGATAAGAGCGTCTGCTAAATGACGTAAATGTAAAATGTAAGTATGTTGAAGAGAGGGAAATATTTAAGTGTAAGGTCATTGAGGTTGGACAGGGTTGAGGGGTTTGGAAGGGATTTGGGGCATGGTCTATTAGAAGTTAGTAAGGCTTTTTTTAATTTTTCTCAGAAGTACTAAGCTAGGTAGGAGGATTTAGAAATATGGAGCTAATGTTGTAAATCGTGATTGACCACACACTCCAGCACTGTAGGTGGCGGCATTCACATTTTACATTTGTTTGCGGACCGTCATTATATCATAGAAGAAGAAGATTTTGACTCGGAAGTAGCTGGCTAACGTTAGCTAGGTTTATTTTGCAGATATTTAAATTGGCTGATGTAGCTAGCTAGCTTTTAGAATAACATTTACATTCACAGACTTAACATTAACTCGTTTTTAAACGACACTGAAAATGTCTAACTGTATCGCCCTTCAGACACAACTAACCTCGATAATGGAGGTTTTAGCCAAATCAGCGGTGGCAGAAATCGCCAAACTGATCGATGACAACTGTGCTGTATTACATTTCGAAATATCTCGGAAGCATAATGAAAATGAAATTCTGCGGAGAAAACTGCTCCTGATGGATAATGAACTGAAGATTGCGCGGATTCCACGACAAACTGGTGAGTACTGTACCACATTTTATGGTACTGTTAGCTAGTTAGTTCCAAAGCGCTCAGTCGGTGCAGCCAGGATAGGCCTCTATTGTTATTTGTAGATAAGGCTATTTTAAATACCTAGCTAAGTATTTATGTGCTTGTGTGTATTCAAGGAAAACACTGCAGTTAACATGAGATATGGAAATATAGATGTTATTCGGCCAAATTTGGGAGAAATGTAGTTTTTGTCAGGCTACCTATCAGCTAACACAGGACACCGCAGACGCGAGAAGATATGGCTCAGAAAACGTACCTCAATCCAAGGATGGAAGATGACTCTGTACTCCTAATTATCCCATTATCCAAAATGATACATCGACAAGATTGAAATACTGCTATTTCTTTATTAAACTGCCTTTTTCGTCCCTATGCTAGTCTACCTAGGCTAAAGCAGCCCATGGATTCCGTGAAAATGCGACGCCTAGCGTTGAGGTGAGTAGCTACCAGAAGTGTTGTGGAATCCAATGGGTTGCTTTAGCCTAGCTAGCCTAGCATGAGGACGAAAAGGGCAGTTTAGTTAAAAATGATTAGTATTTCAATCTTCTCAGTGTATCATTTTGGACAATTAGGAGTACAGCGCCATCTTCTATCCCTGATTGAGGAACGTTTTCCCGAACCATATCTCGCCGGCTCCGGACCATACAGGGAAGATGTACTTACAGCGACCATAAATAAGGTCGGAATCATATGGTTGCCTACCTGTCAAAAAAATACTACTGGAGAGTCCTGGGAGTCCCCTTTTATGCCTGTAATCATTTGCTGTTTCAGAAAAATACACGGACAGCTGTGCTTCAGACTGGAGACCCAGTCAGCGAGGAGATGAGGATGCGTTTCGGTCAGCTTTGGGAGAAGTCAAGGTCTGTGCCCCATAGACTGATTCTGGTCCTCTGTAGCTCAGTTGGTAGAGCACGGCGCTTGTAACGCCAGGGTAGTGGGTTCGATCCCCGGGACGACCCATACGTAAAAATGTATGCACACATAAGTCGCTTTGGATAAATGCGTCTGCTAAATGGCATATTATATTATTATTCTTGTGTAGTTGAATCAGAGATTGGTAATATCTTATTCCTTTAGGCTCCTAGTAGACCAAAGGGCTGAAAGGAACAACATACAGTATCTCTAGAAAACGCAGAACCCAATTAAATCTGACAGACTTGAAACCTGACAAATTGACAATGCATACTGTCTAATAGTTTCATTATTCTAGTTTGCAGAGATTGAATCCCCTTTCATTAAGGTAGAGAGACCGGATGATGGATCATGGAGCAGGGAGCAACACAGAGAACCAAGTGGACAGGGTAACTGAATTCATTGGGCATTGGACAGGGTAACTGCATTCATTGGGCCATTGGACAGGGTAACTGCATTCATTGGGCCATTGGACAGGGTAACTGCATTCATTGGGCCATTGGACAGGGTAACTGCATTCATTGGGCCATTAGACAGGGTAACTGCATTCATTGGGCCATTGGACAGGGTAACTGCATTCATTGGGCCATTGGACAGGGTAACTGCATTCATTGGGCCATTGGACAGGGTAACTGCATTCATTGGGCCATTAGACAGGGTAACTGCATTCATTGGGCCATTGGACAGGGTAACTGCATTCATTGGGCCATTAGACAGGGTAACTGCATTCATTGGGCCATTGGACAGGGTAACTGCATTCATTGGGCCATTGGACAGGGTAACTGCATTCATTGGGCCATTAGACAGGGTAACTGCATTCATTGGGCCATTGGACAGGGTAACTGCATTCATTGGGCCATTGGACAGGGTAACTGCATTCATTGGGCCATTGGACAGGGTAACTGCATTCATTGGGCCATTAGACAGGGTAACTGCATTAATTGGGCCATTGGACAGGGTAACTGCATTCATTGGGCCATTGGACAGGGTAACTGCATTCATTGGGCCATTGGACAGGGTAACTGCATTCATTGGGCCATTGGACAGGGTAACTGCATTCATTGGGCCATTGGACAGGGTAACTGCATTCATTGGGCCATTGGACAGGGTAACTGCATTCATGGGCCATTGACAGGGTAACTGCATTCATTGGGCCATTGGACAGGGTAACTGCATTCATTGGGCCATTAGACAGGGTAACTGCATTCATTGGGCCATTTTACTTCCGTTCAAAACAGGGGCGCTGTCCCAAATGGCACCCTATTCCCTATATAGTGCACTACTTTTGAACAGGGGCCCGTAAAGCTCTGGTTAAAAGTAGTGCACTATGTAGGGAATAGGGTGGCTTAGGCTACTTTGTTTCCAAACAGTGTTATACTGGCCATGGTGTTGAACCTTCATTTGATAACATTTGCTTTGCAAATATATATTTTTATTGGGCATACAATTGTTGACATACTGTAAGTAACTACAAATATATCCTTTCTTTTGTTTGCAATTATAACTATTGTCTTTGTACCTTCTATCTAGGAAACACCACATACGGCAATAATGCCATTCAGAAGCTTCCCATTGGGAATCATCAGCACTTGGAAGAAGAGGAGAATCAAGTCCCAATAATCCTCCTGGAGGAGCAGCTGGCAGAAGATCAAGAGAAGCTTAGTGAACTGTGCCAGTCTCAGTCTGGGCGCCGTGGTGAGGAGGAGACCAGTGTCCTAGAGTTTGTAATAAAGACTGAGAAGGAGGAAGAACATTCCGGATTCGGTCAGGCTGGATGTCAGAGGAGCACAGTAAAGCAGCAGAACCCCCTGAGCTCTGAGTTTGTAATGGATGAAAGAGACAGTCAACTGTGGTCGTCTATAGTTCAAGGGAACGATGACATAGTCATAGAGACGGACTTTCCTGATTTCTCTTATGTAGCCGAGCAGTATTCAGAGAGTTTTCCAGATCACTCCGAGGCTCAGCCACAGCCACAGCCCCAGCCCCTCTCTAGCCCAGTGGAAGGCCCTAGTCAATCAGCCATCTCACCTTCACAGAGACCGTGCAATGGATCAATGTACAACAAAGTCTTTCAGAAAGAGAAAGTAAGTGCATCTCAGTCCGTGTCTAGTTCTTTTCAGTGCCGACCGCAGATCAACCATTCCCAGCAGCAGACCAGGCAGAGAGATCAGGTGTTCTCCCAGAGGAATAATCACATCCCACCGTCCAGGCCTCAAGACAATGGACACACAGCAGAGCGGAGCTTTGGACTGGGTGACACTGACGGACCAACTGGGACTCGATTGAACAATAACACTTTTACACCAGGTGGCCTCAGAAGCTTCACTATGCCTCATTATAATACTAAAAACCACTGGGGTACAGCCATAACAGAGAAGGTTTTCAGTTGCTCGCAGTGCAGCAAGAGTTTTAGTCGCCTGTCCTATCTCAAGATACATCAGCGAAGTCACACAGGAGAGAGGCCATTTCGGTGCACCGTCTGCGGGAAGAGTTTTCACTGCTCCTCGCACCTGACTATACACCACCGCATTCACACGGGAGAGAGACCCTACAGCTGTGCCACGTGTGGGAAGAGGTTTACCCAGCAGAGCAGTCTCAAGACGCACCAGAGTGTCCACAGTGGAGAGAGACCGTATGGTTGCTCTCAGTGTGGCAAGACTTTCACTCTTCTGCACCACCTGAAGAGGCACAGGATTATTCACGCTGGATATAGCTGAGGGGGCTTATTATTATTATTATTATTATTAAACATCTATTTATCCAGGAAATCCCTAAATATGGTTCTCAAAGCTGAATTTAAGATTAAGTTATTTGTTTTCTTACTTTGTAAAATAAAATAGATTCTGAAAAATTAGAACTTTGATGTTTTATGCTATTTTCAACACTACAGAAACATTTCATTAAATAAAATATACAGTGAATACTTTTGCATCAGGCCTTTTAATAAACTGTATGAAAATCGGTACTCTCTCCATAATCAAGTTGGTCAAGAAAAGTATTCGTATATATTTGTTATTGTTGCCTGTTAATGGCATAGAACAGTGGGCGTATCCCGAATAGCACCATCTTCTCTATATAGTGCTCTACTTTTGACCAAGGGCCATAGACACACACAGTGTGTTGTGGAACCAATTATTTGGCAATTAATAATCAGGGAAACCTTTGTAAAGTCCTGACTGCTTTATTGGATTGTGTAAATCTCTACACACCAGAGGGCAGTGGTAACCAACTTTCAGAACAGAGCAAACTAACAGTCACCCTAGTGCAGTTTTTGCTACAGGAACTAACTAACCCCCATTGAAGTTCTCCTTTACTGTAATGGGGAACCACTTGTATTCTGATTTCAGCAGAGCGGGGTCAAAGAGAATATAGAAAACTCTGTGGAGAGGTCGTCCTATTACAGAAATATTGGCGCTATGATGCTTTTCCAATAAGTAAGGGCTTTGCAGTTATATACTGAACAAAAATATAAACGCAACAATTTCAAAGATTTTACTGAGTTACAGTTCATAGAAGGAAATCAGTAAATTGAAATAAATTCATTGGGGCTCTAATCTATGGATTTCACATCACTGGGCAGGGGCGCAGTCATGTGAGGGCATAGGCCCACCCACTGGGGAGCTAGGCCCAGCCAATCGGAATGAGTTTTTCCCAGAAACAGGCTTTATTACAGACAGAAATACTCCTCAGCATTGGATTATCTTGGCAAAGGAGAAATGCTCACTAACAGGGCTGTAAAAAGTTTGTACACAACATTTGAGAGAAGCTTTTTGTGCATATGGAAAATTTCTGGGATCTTTTATGTCAGCTCATGAAAAATGGGAACAACACTTTACGTGTTTTTATTGTTGTTCAGTATACATTTGAAAAGTTACATTATGATCTAAAGCTGCTGTTTAAGCAGGGCAGAGTAACTTTGCAACAGTTAAAAACGTAATGACTAGCCTGGGTACCAGTCTGTTTAGCTAACGTTCCACTCCTTGTCATATGCCACGAAGTACAAGGGAGTGGAATGTTAGCCAAACAGTCTGGTACCCAGGCTAGTCATGACTCAATGTTAACGTGTGGCGGTGTGTGTGCATAGTTACACGTCTCTGGGGCGGAACCTTAGTTGCAGTATAAATGCACTCTACAGAGTAAACAGTGACCTGAGCATTCCTCCCGACTGACGTCACTTCCTGATTACAGTTCCTCCTCCCACCGGAGTAAGGTGAAGTTGCCGCTGGACGCTGATCCAGTTGAGCATTTTCCCCACCAATGGTTAAGGTTAGGATTGGGGAAGGGGAAGCTGAACTTAGAGCTGTACCTATGGGGAAACTTTACCCCAGAGCGTTTCAACTACAGCTTCTAGCCTTGCCAAAGAACAGCTCCAAGCCTGGGAAAGGACTGGCTCCTAGCCTGGGAAAGGACTGGCTCCTAGCCTGGGAAAGGACTGGCTCCTAGCCTGGGAAAGGACTGGCTCCTAGCCTGGGAAATGACCAAATCCTATAGTTGAGCAGGGGAATGCAACCTTTGTGTTATTCTACAATTCAGGTGGTGCTTGTTTTAAAAAGCAACTAGGTATGGTTAAACTTGATTTAGGTCTTGACAGCACAGTTCTCAAGCACAGTCGTACTTTACACATTAGTTCTCAAGCACAGTCGTACTTTACACATTAGGCATAAGACAAAAATTTCAAGAAAAAAATTATTAAGATAGGAGGATCTGGGTTGCATCGCAAATGGCACCCTATTCCCTATATAGTGGCCATGTCAAAAGTAGTGCACTATATAATAATAATAATAATAATATGCCATTTAGCAGACGCTTTTATCCAAAGCGACTTACAGTCATGCGTGCATACATTTTTTGTGTATGGGTGGTCCCGGGGATCGAACCCACTACCTTGGCGTTACAAGCGCCGTGCTCTACCAGCTGAGCTACAGAGGACCACATATAGGGAATAGGGTGCCATTTGGGATGCAACCCTTGGTCTTAAAGGGACAGGGAGGACAGCTTGTAAAACGTAGAGCCTACCCATGACCTTGTATGGGTATATATATAAACACCATTGCGTTGACGTCATGGAAATTGCTGCCTGGAGGACGGGGAACATGGCATTAGAATATATTGGGTGAGAAAGTGGAAAAGAGCTTCATTAACCTTGGATCTGTCCCAAATGGCACCATGTTCCCGATGTAGTGCACTACCTTTGACCAGAGTTGGTCAAAAGTAGTGTACTACATAGGGAATAGGGTGCTATTTGGGACATAAGCATTGATAGTGAAGGGAAACAATGAGAGTAGAGATAGTGTGGTAAAATATAGTTGATACAGTGATAGTTTGAAAAGTCAGTAAATAAACACTGTCCCTTCCCACTGCGCAAAGTCAACTTTCTGTCCCACAGCAGTAGTTACTCTCTGCATAGCCTGTACATTCTGATAAATGTCTGTACGCTTTCAAGGCCAGACAACACAGTAATTCTACAGAGGCATAGAAAATAAGTGCCACTTGAACACCGCTGTCCTATCAAGTTGACTCTGTTTATTGTGACAGTAAGACTGAGTGTAGCACCAACAACATCTTTATTTTCACCTTTCAATCCCCATCAATATACACATCCATGAGCATTCTTATAAGGCAAAGCTAAAACTACCAACCGTTTGGAAGGTAATATAATCTACAGTTTAACCCCTCTTTTAAGACCTTGAATAAAAAGCATATATTACACAAAAAGTGTTTCTATAAATAAGTATTAAAAATATACAGAGAACATCCCTAATTGTTAGTATACCAACACACTGCTACTTTACAACATGTTATGGTCAGTCTCTAAATAAAAAATGTTAATTGGTAGCACTGGTGCTCCCAACTTTAAAAAGTTAGGATCACACCCAAAAAAAAATTAGGAGCCTATATGAATTATATTTCTTTCTGAAGCACATGTTGTGCCCTAGAATCTAATATGTAACGCTGTAAATACATTTGTTTATTATAAAAAGCTAAAATGTGGGGAATATTAGGTTTCTACATTATGTAAAAGCACTATTTTCCTATTGAGATGAATTACATTGAAAATGGTACAGTGTATCTTTAAAAGCATTAAGTTTGTGATGACTACTTGCAAGAGATCTGTCATTCATGGTTCTGACTAGACGGGAGTACAGCCATGACCGGAAGTGACTTTTTCATAGCAGATTATGAGAATTTACGCAGCAAGTTAGGCTAACTAACGTGGTTGATTAGGAGACTTAGGTGAAGGTTATAAAAGGGTTAGGGTTAGCTCAAATGCTCTCCTAACCTGCTACGTAAAGTCACTTCCGCTCGTAGCTGTATTCCCTCTAGTCACAACCGTCATTCACTCATTGCTATGATCACAGAGTTTCTAAACCCAGAGGCCCAACATCGTGATACTTCCAGGAGCGCTTCGCAAAGCCGACTCGACAGACCAGACTGGGGTTTGGGAAGTAAATGAGAGAAGTGGACAATTCTTTCTTAGTAGTTAATTTTCAACCTAGATTCGAGACAATGTTTTAAGTAGGTGAACATGTCATAACTCCAACCTCGTGAAAGTGACAAACTGACACGTTTTCATATATATCGAAGGAGTGCCTTTGATTTGACGGCATGCAAAGGCGCAGTTCAGTGCGACACTACCGTTAGACCCGATGACGTGTTTCTGCACGAGTTTAGGTAGCTAACGTCGCTATGACATCGCCTGCGTGATCGGGGATTTCTACTATCGGAGAAGCAGTTTCTAGGCATCTTCATACCAAACCATCTTTCCTAGGATCATTGATCTCCTGAAGAAGCTATCCTTTTCCCTTTCTTTATGTGCCCCCAAATGTTTGAATATACTGGTAAAGTTAGATAACTAGCTAATGAGGTAACAAACATGACTGAACAAGGTGTAGAACAAATGGTTAACGGCCCGCAAATAATTTTAGCATGGCCCGTAACATGGTTTAGGGATGTAAAATGCGGCCCCCCCCACTCCTCACAGGAAGAGAATAAGGTTAATATGGTCAGATCCTTCGAACTGTTTGTGCTAGAAACAAGCATTTCTAGCTGTGGTAATGGTGCAAGCATCACGCTAACGAATCTGCGCTCGGGAAACAAAGGTACAGTGAATCATTGCAACAATTATTATAAAAATACATACATATTGGCTTTTTTTGGGGTAGCACTAGTTCTCCCAAATTAAAACTGCAGGTCGTACAGCTAAATATTTTGTTGCATATGCGACCAAATTGGTCGCACTTTAGAGCCCAGTTTACAGTAGTCTACTATATCACTATGTAATGGGAACACCCTTACGTTTAGGTAATTTACTTCACCTATATCATATAATTTAAAAATCTAAATATTAGTCACACTTGTTAGGGAATGTACAACGTGCAAGTATTTCTGAACTGAACAAAAATAAATATTAATTTACTAAATGATCAAGTTAATACATTAAATAATTGTCAATTCACCTCAATACAGCTCTATATTTATAAACGTTTAGTGCAGGGCACATTATATAATAGTATTTTACTCCAAATTGGCATGTTTTCACAACACACATTAAACAATGATTCAACAGCTACCTTGAAGAATGTTAAAGTACAGAAAAAGAAGCCGAAGGAGTCCTGACAACAGCCTGTCTTGGCCAGACAACCCCACACACAGACACAGACACAGACACAGTGGAACCAGGGTCAGTCAGAGTTATCAGGCGTCGTTATTGTTGTGCTCTATGTGGGTCACCATGTTGGTCACCAGTTTCTCTAGCTGCTCTGCCCTCAGCTGGCCTGTCTCTAGGACCTCCTCATGGTTGGCCTTCTCCTGGCTGTCGTAATCCATCACAGCCTGGTTGGTGATCAGGGACAGGGCGAACACCCGCATCCCACAGTGACGCGCTACAATCACCTCGTGCACCGTGCTCATGCCTAGAACAAGGAAAAAGGGGAGGACAAAAGCAATGCACTAACTGACAATGTGATTCAAATGTTGCAGAGTCGCATTGTCAATAATTCTGCATGAAATGCAGCAAGAGCAAACTACAAGAACAATGGAGTGCTTGCAAAAGTATTGTTCTGAAAGTGGAAGAAGTTTAGAAGTTAAAATTGTTGCTAGAGTTGAAGACGATGGCAGTAGTGCTGAGGTGTTGTGATAACTCTGTAGCTGCTCCAGGACTCACCCACAGCGTCAGCCCCCAGTCTGTTCATCATACGACACTCGGCGATGGTTTCGAACGAGGGCCCGCCCAGCACGCAGTACACTCCCTCTCTCAGGAAATCACCAAAGCCAAGCTCCGCCCCCACACATTGTGCCAGCTGCAGAAGTTCCCTATCATACGCATCAGACATGGAGGGGAACCGAACTCCGAATCTAGGAGGAGGAAATGAAGGTAGCAACTCAACCAAACCCGTTTTCAGTCCCTGATAAACCAGTTGTGGAAAAAGGGTGCACGCCCAAAAATACATAGTCTAGTAAATTACATCTGTATAGTTTGGAGAGGAACCGAACCCCGAACCTAGGAGGAGAAGGTGGTAACTCAACCTCGTTTTCAGTCCCTGATAAACCAGTTGTGGAAAATGGGTGCACGCCCAAAAATACATTGCCTAATAATTACATCTGTATAATTCAAGTAAAACTTTGTCGGCACCCTTTTTAATATGCATTCCGTAATCACTATATTGTACGTCCCTAACTGTTGCCTATATAATTTACATAACCACACACCTTTCATCATTGGGTCCTGCCAGTGGGTTGTTCCCAGCGAACCCAGGCATGTTGATGTGGTCTTTGATGATCATGACGTCCCCAACCTTGTAGTCCTGATTGAGGCCTCCAGCTGCGTTGGTCAGGATGACCGTCTCCACACCTAGCAGCTTGAAAATCCGCATGGGCATTGTGACCTGCAATATTTGTCAATTTCAATTGTAATTGTTTATAAACGTATTTTATACGTGAAGAGTAGCTGACGCCGTGGCATCAGCTAATGGGTATCCTAATAACATTGAAATGCACATCCAGACATACTGTGAAATACAATGCGAAGAATGGAGTTCAGGTAGGCCTCTGCACTTCAGCAAACAAAAGAAAATCGGAGTGGTGCTCAACAACAAATGACAGGAATCCAATAAAAAAATGTATGGGAAACACACAAAAAACAGGCAGTGATATATACAGTGCCATCAGAAATTATTCACACCCCTTGACTTATTCCACATTTTGTTGTGATACAGCCTGAATTCAAAATGGATGAAAAAAAAAATCTCACCCATCTACACACAATACCCCATAATGACAAAGTGAACACATGTTGAACATTTTTGCTAATTTGTTAATTGAAATACAGAAATATTTGTTTTACATAAGTATTCACACCTTATGTAATACATGTTAGAATCACCTTTGGCAGTGATTACAGCTGTGAGTCTTTCTGGGTAAGTCTCTAAAAGCTTTGCACACCTGGATTGTACAATATTTGCACATTAGTCTTTTTTAAAGTTTAGAAGTTAAATGATCATTGCTTGACAGCCATTTTCAAGTCTTACCATAGATTTTCAAGCCGATTCAAGTCAAAACTGTAACTAGGCCACTCAGGACTATTCAATGTCGTCTTGGTAACCAACTCCAGTGTATATTTGGCCTTGTATTTTTAAGTTATTGTCCTGCTGAAAGGTGATTTTGTCTCTGTAACAGTGTTGCTTCCGTCCCTCTCCTCGCCCCTACCTGGGCTTGAACCAGGGACCCTCTGCACACATCGACAACAATCACCCTCGAAGCGCCGTTACCCGTCGCTCCACAAAAGCTGCGGCCCTTGCAGAGCAAGGGAAACAACTACTTCAAGGTCTCAGAGCGAGTGACGTCACCAATTGAAATGCTACTAGCGCGCACCGCTAACTAGCTAGCCATTTCACACCGGTTACATCTCCCAGTGTCTGTTGGAAAGCAGACTGAACCAGGTTTTCCTCTAGGATTTTGCCTGTGCTTAGCTATATACTTTTTTTTTTTTTTTTTACCCATCTACCAATAGGTGCCCTTTTTGGAAAACCTCCTGGGTCTTTGTGGTTTAATCTGTGTTTGAAATTCACTGCTCGACTGAGGGACCTTACAGATAATTGTATGTGTGGGGTACAGAGATGAGGTAGTCATTCAAAAATCATGTTAAACACTATTATTGCACATTTTTACTACTGAACGTATTTAGGCTTGCCATAACAAAGGGGTTGAACACTTAGACATTTTAGATGATCATTTTTTAATAATTTGTAAAAATGTCTAAAAACATTATTCCACTTTGATATTATGGGGTAAGCCAGTGACACAAAATCTCAATTTAATCAATTTTAAATTCAGGCTGTAACACAACAAAATGTGGGAAAAGGGGTGTGAATACTTCCTGAAGGCGCTGTATCTTCTTACGCTCAGTACTCTCTCTTTATTCCAAAGTTTACTGATGTTACAATGCAAAGAGTATAGCATCTCATAATATTACATCTTCTTTTTTTTTTTTTTTTTTTCTCTGGGAGTAGATCAGCTTAATATTGCAGATAGATTGTAACTTCTATCAATGTAATTGTCTGCATCACTTCCAATCCCCCATGTTTTTTATATATATACTCCCCTTTATTACTTTTCAACCCCGCCATCCTTTCCCTACTTGGGGTAAATTAGTGAACAACAATGCCCAGGCCTCTACTTCCAGCCTATACTTACTATCTACACCTTATGGACACAGTCAATTTTACAATAATTCTATTTTATTAGTTTTTTTTGTTTTTGCTCCTGAACTACTTCTACTCTCAACCTCTCCGATCATTTTCATGATGTCCATCCAGTTGGTTCTATATGCCATATCTTTCTAACTGTGCTCTTTCCCAAAAGCTCCCAACATACAACCTATATACTTATTATGGACACAGTATGCTTACATTATTAGCTATCTTGTTATTATTTGTTGTTAGTTGTTATTAGTCCCATCCTTCAACTCCATTCAATACCTCCCATCTATCTCTTAACACCATCCATATAGGATTTCTATTTGCCATATATATTTCAACCATACTGTGATGTTTTACAAAAGTTCTGAACCTTTCTATTCTCATTGCTTCTACAGATTGTGAATTAAAAATAAACATTTTTGCTAAAAGTATTATTATATTATTGATCGATTGACTATGACTTTTCAGATCACCCAGTAATGCTATCTGCAAGGTTAGCTCCAGGTAAATATTGCAATCCTTTAGCCATTCCTGGACCTGTGTCCAAAAACAAGCTACAAATGGACAGAACCAAAACAAATGATCTAATGATTCCGTCTCTTCACAGCAAAATCTGCAGAGCTGGGAAGATTGTATCCCCCATATAAATAACATTCTATTGGTAGCAAGAATTTTATATAATAATTTAAATTGAAAGATTCTAATTTTTGAATCCGGTGTCGTTTTGCATGTCAGTTCATAAACACTATGCCATGGGATCGGTACGTCAAAAATCTCTTCCCAACTATTTTGCTATCTATATGGGACGGCTGTCAATCCTTTGGTCCTTAAGTGAAACTGATATACTTTTTTATTTATCACAGTTTTCCTTAACCAATTATGTTCTTTAATGCAAGGCCGACAGATAAGTTCCTTACTTTCTCCCCCTTCCACTTTCCTCTTCCACTTTTGCAGTAAGGCTGCAATTATTTGGTTGTAATTTTGGGTAGAGCAGACATTTCCATATGTTTTTGTTAGCTGCATGTGCGACATAACTCCACCAGTCCTACCGATGATATCATTTACGAAGATTATACCTTTTTTAAACATTCTGTCAAAAAATAAAGGTTTTTTGTCAATTAGTATATTTTAATTTAACCACAATATTTGTTGCATTATTTGTTCTGTCATTTCTGGAGGATTAAATTGAAATTGCAACCAACTTTCTATGGCTTGTTTTAGAAATAGTGATATTTGGGAGATTATTTCCTTTTCAAATAACTGAAAATGAGTTGTTGTAATCTGAATAAAAGGGAAAAAGGCATTTCTTGAACATTGGGTGAGACAATCTTACTAATTTGCTTGAGAACCAGTTCGGATTTAAGTATAACTTTTGTATGACTGAAGCTTTTAGTGATAGGTCTAATGCTTTAATATTGAATAATTTCTTTCCTCCGAATTCATATTCTTATATAAATAGGCCCTTTTAATTTTGTCTGGCATGCCGTTCCAAATAAAATGGAATATTTTTTTCTCATATAATTTAAAAAACTGTTCGCTAGGCGTAGGCAAGACCATAAGCAAATAGGTAAACTGGGATAATACTAAAGAGTTAATTAGGGTGATTTTTCCACAAATTGACAGGTATTTTCCTTTCCATGGTAGTAAGATCTTATCTATTTTTGCTAACTTTCTATTAACATTTATTGAAGTGAGATCATTTATTTCCTTTGGGATATGTATTCCGAGTATATCCACATCACCATCAGACCATTTTATTGGTAAACTACATGGTAATGTAAAAATTGTATTTTTTAGTGATCCAATACGTAATATACAGTGGGGAAAAAAAGTATTTAGTCAGCCTCCAATTGTGCAAGTTCTCCCACTTAAAAAGATGAGAGAGGCCTGTAATGTTCATCATAGGTACACGTCAACTATGACAGACAAAATGAGAATTTTTTTCTCCAGAAAATCACATTGTAGGATTTTTTATGAATTTATTTGCAAATTATGGTGGAAAATAAGTATTTGGTCAATAACAAAAGTTTCTCAATACTTTGTTATATACCCTTTGTTGGCAATGACACAGGTCAAACGTTTTCTGTAAGTCTTCACAAGGTTTTCACACACTGTTGCTGGTATTTTGGCCCATTCCTCCATGCAGATCTCCTCTAGAGCAGTGATGTTTTGGGGCTGTCGCTGGGCAACACAGACTTTCAACTCCCTCCAAAGATTTTCTATGGGGTTGAGATCTGGAGACTGGCTAGGCCACTCCAGGACCTTGAAATGCTTCTTACGAAGCCACTCCTTCGTTGCCCGGGCGGTGTGTTTGGGATCATTGTCATGCTGAAAGACCCAGCCACGTTTCATCTTCAATGCCCTTGCTGATGGAAGGAGGTTTTCACTCAAAATCTCACGATACATGGCCCCATTCATTCTTTCCTTTACACGGATCAGTCGTCCTGGTCCCTTTGCAGAAAAACAGCCCCAAAGCATGATGTTTCCACCCCCATGCTTCACAGTAGGTATGGTGTTTTTTGGATGCAACTCAGCATTCTTTGTCCTCCAAACACGACGAGTTGAGTTTTTACCAAAAAGTTATATTTTGGTTTCATCTGACCATATGATATTCTCCCAATCCTCTTCTGGATCATCCAAATGCATTCTAGCAAACTTCAGACGGGCCTGGACATGTACTGGCTTAAGCAGGGGGACACGTCTGGCACTGCAGGATTTGAGTCCCTGGCGGCGTAGTGTGTTACTGATGGTAGGCTTTGTTACTTTGGTCCCAGCTCTCTGCAGGTCATTCACTAGGTCCCCCCGTGTGGTTCTGGGCTTTTTGCTCACCGTTCTTGTGATCATTTTGACCCCACGGGGTGAGATCTTGCGTGGAGCCCCAGATCGAGGGAGATTATCAGTGGTCTTGTATGTCTTCCATTTCCTAATAATTGCTCCCACAGTTGATTTCTTCAAACCAAGCTGCTTACCTATTGCAGATTCAGTCTTCCCAGCCTGGTGCAGGTCTACAATTTTGTTTCTGGTGTCCTTTGACAGCTCTTTGGTCTTGGCCATAGTGGAGTTTGGAGTGTGACTGTTTGAGGTTGTGGACAGGTGTATTTTATACTGATAACAAGTTCAAACAGGTGCCATTAATACAGGTAATGAGTGGAGGACAGAGGAGCCTCTTAAAGAAGAAGTTACAGGTCTGTGAGAGCCAGAAACTTGCTTGTTTGTAGGTGACCAAATACTTATTTTCCACCATAATTTGCAAATAAAATCATAAAAAATCCTACAATGTGATTTTCTAGATTTTTTTCCCTCAATTTGTCTGTCATAGTTGACGTGTACCTATGATGAAAATTACAGGCCTCTCTCATCTTTTTAAGTGGGAGAACTTGCACAATTGGTGGCTGACTAAATACTTTTTTCCCCCACTGTATGTTTGTAAATGTACCAATAAAAAATACCGTAATGATTGAGTGTCCATATAGCTGTACCGTGATATTTGCATTGCTACGGAGTAACCCTTCAATTGTTCTCCACTAATTCCCCCGCTAAAGCCCCTCCCCATCCCAAGTTGAGCCGTCATCCCAGTGATCAGCATCCCACCCACGTCCCTCCGGATCCCTAAGGCCCGAGAGGCCAGGACCCATCCATCGAAAACAGCACACAGTGCCACCCACAAAACAGAAGCAGATTAACCGCCAAAAGCATTTCCAATGCTGTCACCTCATATATATATATATATAACTATTTTATAAAAAATTATGCATATCCTATAACCCGGATTGCCATTGTATTACATTTAATTTATTGACAAGCAATTATTATCCTAGCAAATAATTCCCGTGGTCCATCCCATACCCCCCCCCCCCTCCCCCACAACATCCCCACCCCCCCACAACAGATGCCGGACAAACACACACGCACATACTCACATACTCCCAACACACTCAACCCCCCTCCTCCACAATCCACCATAAAATCAGATACTCAACGGCTGTTATATCCCAGAGCCCAACTCAAGAAAGAACCTGATTTACGAGTGCACATACATATAAAGCTGATTGAGAAAGCATGCAGATTGAGCAGAAATTGACAACAATGTGAGATTTGATTAATCTACTTAATCTATGTCAAGTCCTAGGTGATGGAGATCAGATCCACCCTCTTCACCTGAGACACAAACACTCTGATCCCCTGTTGTAACCATTTTCCCAAGCATCTCCGTGCGGTCAGACCTTTGATTATTTTGGGCCACCTGGGCCACAATGATAAACCCCCTCTCTGATTGTCCGAGTGTGACCCCCTCCCCATGGGTTACTGCAGCCAGTGTTGCCAGCACTGCCACTACGTGGGTGGGCGTACTCCACCGGAATCCCCACCGGCTAGGTAAAAGGTCGTCAAGGTTCTCATTAGCAGCTTTGAGAATTTCCTTGTATATTATGCTCTCCCATCAGGGGGCTCTGGCTTTGTAGGACCAACCCTGCCAGGCAGGCTCAGAATCTTGAGGGGGCGGTGCTGCTCAAGTAGGTCTCTGACCACATTTATTTCTCTGTTTAGGCTGCATACTCACAGCAGGTCCATAAAAGAGATGGGAACTTCTCTTTGGTGTATGGGTCGCTCAGGTGGGTGTCCAGGTTATAGGGTTAGGGATCTTTCCATCATGATAGGACAATGAAAAATTAGATTAGATGTATACTATATTTAAAAATGTATATCCCTCATCTACACAAAATTGAAAGCTCTCTCTCAATATTACATCTTAATATAACGAGTGGTCCTTTACAGTTACTAGTTACCTGTCCAAAATTGTAATCAGTAACATAACTTTTGGATTATCCAAACTCAGTAACATAATCTGATTACTTTCAGATTACTTTCCCCTTAAGAGGCATTAGAAGAAGACAAAATGAATAATACCAATTGAACAACATCTATTGCAGGATAAATCAATGTTAGAGTTTACATAGCTGGCCATAAATGGATGTTGCATTTTAATTTATGGGTTGGTTATGTAGGCTTCTTCTAACCCATTGCTTTCTACTACAGATAATAATACGTTTAGGGTAGAACTACATTAAAAACCAAAGTCTGTCACATTTCCAGTCATTCCAATTAATTTAATACCCTTGTTCGTCAAGAAAAGGACTTGGAACTATGAAAATATAGATTAGCCAAATTGTTCTACCTGAGCATTACCCAAAAACGAAGGATTTGTATCCTACTCTGTTGTTTATGATTTGGTTGTCATGGAGGACTGATTGGGCTCATTGCTTTGAGTTGAATAAAACAATGCAGCTCTCATGGATTAGTATGCTTTGAGCACTACCAAAAAGTGCTATTTGCATGTGAAAAATGAAGCCATATGCTGGACTTGCTATAGGCCTATTGTTTACGTTTTTGTTGGTGACACTTTGATAGAAAATTTGGGACTAAAGGTTCCATCTGTAAAAACAAATTTACAGCAAATTGTTTTAGTGTATTCTTTTGAACATAACAACATGAATTGGGATATTTAAAGAACTATATAGGTAGAGAACAAGTCTGTCAATAACTAAATTTTGACAAAAATGCAGATAGAACCCTATAGTCCCAAACTCTCGATATCTCGATAATCTGCAGCTGTTTAAGTCTATCAAAAGTGCGTGAGTTTGACCATCTGTTAGGCCTTTGGATTTTTGGGAGGGGAATCAGCACAAATTAGATTGAGCAAACTCGCACTTGTGGTCTTCTTAAATTAAACTGTTTTTTGACAGTATGGAGCACAATACCATGGAGAAGTTTAGAAGGTAGGAACTCCCTCAAACTTTAATTCCATAGGCTGGGATCCGCACTATGCAGCTGTTGCAAGAGCACATTTTTCACTGGCTGTCCACTGTTTGCAACATCAATGATTGATAGGCAGCTTAAACTTCTCCAATTCAACCATTATTTGGTTAAAATACACATATACTTGTGAACAGCCATCCACAACAACCACAATCCGTAAGGCGCAAAAAGCTAAATGAAAGAGCAGCAGTGTGATTCACATCAATGCGCTATGTAGATATGAATAATAAGTGAAATCCGTGTCGCCCGTAGGCTACACCACTGCTGTCGTCCTTACCTCCAAGCGTTTATTCAAGTCGGATCATCTTTGGATGCCGACAGCAGTCTCACCATTGGAAGACATAGTTTGGACTGTAGCCTACAAAAGCCTATTCCTGCTCTTTCCCCGCGATCCATCAAACACATTTGGTGTGTCATCATAGTGGTCTTGTGGTCAGACTCGCTCAGATGGAACAAACTTAAACTTGCACCTTTTTCAAGGCTGATTTGAAGGTCATTGAGAAAACAGAAAGGTGTCCCAAAGTGTTTCTGAATTTAAAAGGAATCCTAGAAGTAGCCTAATCATATAGTTTTTCAAAATGATCTAATCTGATTACAATATTTTAGCTGGTAAAGTAAAGATTTTTTGCAATCAGTTACATGTAATCCGTTAATCCCCAAGCCTGATTACTCGGGGCGGCAGGTAGTTTAGTGGTTAAGAGCGTTGTGCCAGTAACCGAAAGGTTGCTGGTTCTAATCCCCGAGCCGACTAAGTGAAAAATCTGTCAATGTGCCCTTGAGCAAGGCACTTAACCCTAATTGCTCCTGTAAGTCGCTCTGGATAAGAATGACTAAAATGTAATGTAATTACAAAATGTAAAGCTCCCCTCTCTCTATATATTCAATTTAAGGGCTTTATTGGCATGGGAAATGTATGTTAACATTGCCAAAGCAAGTGTAGTGGCAGTGCTGGCAACACTGGCTGCAGTAACCCATGGGGAGGGGGTCACACTCGGACAATCAGAGAGGGGGTTTATCATTGTGGCCCAGGTGGCCCAAAATAATCAAAGGTCTGACCGCACGGAGATGCTTGGGAAAATGGTTACAACAGGGGATCAGAGTGTTTGTGTCTCAGGTGAAGAGGGTGGATCTGATCTCCATCACCTAGGACTTGACATAGATTAAGTAGATTAATCAAATCTCACATTGTTGTCAATTTCTGCTCAATCTGCATGCTTTCTCAATCAGCTTTATATGTATGTGCACTCGTAAATCAGGTTCTTTCTTGAGTTGGGCTCTGGGATATAACAGCCGTTGAGTATCTGATTTTATGGTGGATTGTGGAGGAGGGGGGTTGAGTGTGTTGGGAGTATGTGAGTATGTGCGTGTGTGTTTGTCCGGCATCTGTTGTGGGGGGGTGGGGATGTTGTGGGGGAGGGGGGGGGGTATGGGATGGACCACGGGAATTATTTGCTAGGATAATAATTGCTTGTCAATAAATTAAATGTAATACAATGGCAATCCGGGTTATAGGATATGCATGATTTTTTATAAAATAGTTATATATATATATATGAGGTGACAGCATTGGAAATGCTTTTGGCGGTTAATCTGCTTCTGTTTTGTGGGTGGCACTGTGTGCTGTTTTCGATGGATGGGTCCTGGCCTCTCGGGCCTTAGGGATCCGGAGGGACGTGGGTGGGATGCTGATCACTGGGATGACGGCTCAACTTGGGATGGGGAGGGGCTTTAGCGGGGGAATTAGTGGAGAACAATTGAAGGGTTACTCCGTAGCAATGCAAATATCACGGTACAGCTATATGGACACTCATATATACAGTGTTGTAACAATGTGCAAATAGTTAACGTACAAATGGGAAAATATATAAACATTAATATGGGGTGTTTGTTCTTCACTGGTTGCCCTTTTCTTGTGGCAACAGGTCACAAATATTGCAGCTGTGATGGCACACTGTGGTATTTCACCCAGTAGATAAGGGAGTTTATTAAAATTTGTTTTTTATTTTGAATTCTTTGTGGATCTCTCTCTCGCTCTAAAAAGAAAACATCAACAAACCTTCTGGATGGGGTATCCCTCATATAGATGGAATCTTCCCTGCATGCACACACACGATTTCCCTTTCAGCATGCCAAACACCAACCTGCCAGCGTGACCATGCACTGGAACACACAAAAAACTGTTAGATCAGTGCAACGACACACACACACACACACTGTGTATTAGAGATAAGTATACATGCATAACACGCATACAAAAGTACACACCTGTGCTCTGGGGGAAGTTAGGAATGTCGCTGTATTTAAATGCTGTCTGATCTTTCAGCATTTCTGCCAGGCCTCCCAAGCCTGAGCCACACACTATCCCCACCAGGGGGCGTATCTTTGTCTGGGACAGGAGCCATTCAGCTGTAGCACTGCACTCCTCAAAGCTGTACCTGAGAGAGAGAGAGAGAGAGAGACAGTGTAATTTTTTGTTGTTTATTTCACTTTTGTTTACTATCTACTTCACTTGCTTTGGCAATGTAAACATATGTTTCCCATGCCAATAAAGCCCCTTGAATTGAAATTGAATTTAGAGAGAAAGACAGGGGGTGGCGGGTGGAGAGAGGAAGAGAGCGAGAGTGAGAAAGACGGAGTGAGAGAGGTGGGAGGGTTACTGTCAAAAGCTCTCATAACAAATGTGTGGGAAAACTGCCTCATAGTAAGAAAACAGTGAGATAGACATGAACATCTGTTTGTGGAGTGAGAGGCTTTGTTACAAATGGCACCCTATGCATTACACAGTGCACTACTTTTGACCAGAGTCCTATGAGCCCTGGTCAAATGTAGTACACTATATAGGTAATAATGATCCATTTGGGACACAACCAGAGAGGTGAAGGGGTGGAGCAAGAGTGGAATTGGGAAACACAGCTGTGTCTGAAGCAGCCTTTTGTTATGTAATATAAGATTACAACAAGATTAACACTGAGAACATTTACACACAAACACACGCACGCACTCTCCTATTGTATCTGATTTAACAGTAAAAGGTACTACCAGCATCCACAATGTTAACACACCCCATGGCATGTGTAGGCTTAGTACCAGATTCCTTTCATGGAGCTGGGCTACGTGGCCCGCTATGTGGGCAAAGTTACGGCAACATTTTCCATGTTGAGGAATTTCCGCTGCCCAATAAAAGTCTGCAATGGAGTCTAGTCCTATTATGCATTAGCCTTCTGACATGATATAATTGTAGGCTATAGAATTGACGACACAGTAAAGCGCTACACATAATCCTATAGCCAGATGTTATTTTAACCATTTATTTAGCGCCTGTCACCGGGTAAAACTGCGCTTTCAAGAAAAACTATATTGACAAATTAGCCTAGGACTGGACCAAAAATTATAATAAAAGTATAGCAGGCTACAGAAGCGCAAGAGACCACGACTTCCCGATAAGCACGCCCATGAATCTATATTATCCTACACTCACCCATACAGCACCCTTTAAGGTTTACAATTACTACGCTTCCCGACTGATGCTTCTGATATCTGAATCCGCAGCTATAATGAACAGTGGATATTGTAGGAAAACACTTACCCCATCGTAGTTTCTGGATACATGATGATGCTCCTGCAAGTTGCCAAAAATTACTTTTCAAATAAATTATGGACAGACTAACTGATCTGACAAGTTTGGATAGCCTCAATGAGACTAAAGGTGTGAAACGTTTGTAAATAAATAAATAGGCCTATTTAAATAATAGCCAACTCAACTCAGTACTGACGCTTCTTAAAGTTCCGGCAGTTTACTTTGAGGATTTATAAACCTCTTTCCCCTCCACACGAGCCACATCCCCGGTGTGACGTACGGTGACAGCTCGCGCCCCTATTGGAGAGTCACGCGGGCGTTGTTCGGATGATGATGCAGAAACTGCGGTGCTCTTGGTGATTTCAAGACATCTCGAAAACGTTTAGGGTAAGTTTTTTTCCCGTAGAACTTCGAATTGGTTTATTCACCTTACAACACGGAAACTCGGAACCTGAGTTAAAATTATATATATATATTTTTTTTTACAATACAAAACATCCACATACAAACGACAACATACAGAAGGACACAAACATCCATAACATCACCCCTGCCCAGACCCACCTGCTCACACCCCCATCTCCAGTTCCCCTATCACTCTCCTTCACATGGCCTCAAACTGCATCAGGGGACCGGTGGCACCATAATTGGGGAGGACGGGCTCATAGTAATGTCTGGAATGCAATGAATGGAATGGTATCCAACAGGTGTGTTTGATACCATTCCATTTACTCCAGCCATTATTATGAGCCGTCCTCCCCTCAGCGGCCTCCTGTGAATTGCACCATTTTGTTTCTCTCCATCGCCCCACACACTTTCAACATTCAGATAATAAAGCATTTGACTTTTCCAATGTGTTAATATATACGTTTTTTCAAGATGATTGACGAGAAAAGTATCTTCCAACCCATCGGGTATAAAATGTGCATACGTGTTTTGCGTAGAGCTTCCTATTGGTTGATTCTGATACTTTCCAAGTGGGAAACTCGGACATCATCTTTCTACAACGAGTTTCCAAGTCAGACATTTTGGAGTTTCCGAGTTTCGAGTTATTTCGGATGAGAGAGTTATGCCGTGTTTACGTCATGTCGGAAACTCTGAACCTCAGAGTTAAAATGAACGTACATTATTTGGGTAGAACTTCCTATTGGTTGATTCTGAAACTTCCCAAGTGGGATCAAACTTGTGTATCATCTTTCTACGAGAAAGTCAAATATTTCACAATTTCCAAGTTTCCGACATGATGACAATGCCTGCATCACCTCATAATTTGAAGAAGAAGAAAAAATGGTCTTATGAAACAATGGAATGCTATTTGCTGTCAAATATTTGTGTCATCACTAGAAGCAGTAGCCTAAAACTTGGTCACACTATATACTGTATACTCCAGAAGAAGACTGAAACAGATTGCAGGCCATCTTTTAAATCAATAAATGTATCAATAAACATAGACTAAACATATTACAACTAGGCTACATATGGTAGATGTACAAAGGATGGTATTATGCACCTCCCAACTGCATAACACAAACCTGACCTAACCTGACCCTCACCACACACACACAGCAGACGTGACACCACATGTTCGAAAGTTGTGTGGCAAAATGTGTGTCTTTTCTGGGGACTGGTGTTTTTCCTAATCTCCTGACCTGGTCAGGTAAAACTCTGCGTCCTATTCATAGGCTATGACAGGGTCCAACGTGAACTTTTTTGGCCAAAAACCTACTGGCCCGAAGATCATTTCTACTGGCCCGGACATGGTGTCGTTTTTAAATGCATTGGGGTCATGCAGGGCCTATAGGTTGGCATTCTTTCTCTATTAAAGTATTAAGTATTAAAATGCTGTTTAATATAATTTAGCAATGTAAGTCATTACTCCATTCTTTAGAATTGCATTGTATTAATTGCATTAACTTTTGTTTCTAAAGTCATTTTGAGAAGATTTCTTTACATCTCAAAATAGGATGCTGCCCCTTTAAGAAAATTGCGTTCCAATATAAACTGTATATTGACCTGGCTACAGTACCTCTTTCACATCGGTTTAACTCTTTTACAATGTCATCCTAAACACAAAACACCTTTGGGGGCCAAATGTTTCACAGGCATTTAAAAACAGATAAATGTGTGTTTTAGTGTGTGTGTATATTCAGTAGCTGACCTGGTTGCTTAGAACAGAGCTGAATGTGTTCTGGTATGTGGACTAAGTAGCCCAACGTTATGTAACTGCTATTTGGTATTCAGATTAGGTGCCCTTTAGCTGTGTTTTCATTGGCTTGCCAGCCAAATCTGTCACTGGTTCAAATAAGTTATGCACAGAGACAGACTGTCCAAATGGCAATTCTGGCAAATGTCAGATGGGCTGGTCTATCTTTTAGTTTAGTTTTATTTATTTTTGCACAAAATTATCATTATTTGGTGAATAGTAGGGGCCTCGAGGAAATGAATGGGCCTGTGTGTTAGAAATGCCAGGGTCGATTTCTGGTCCCAGTCCGTCCCTGTTTACACATTTTATTCGATGCAGAGTTTGACACATTTGATTTGCTCTGTCTGATTGAACTCTGGGGAAAACAGTTACGGTAAAAAGGCCAGCCCTCTCAACCTAACCTAACCTAACCCTTAGTGTATGTTTATGATGTACACATAATGAGTCAAATGATTGACAAAACATGTGAAACAGTTTTTCCTAGTAAACTAGTTTTCTCTGACTAGGTTGTATAGATAGAACTAGGGGGATGACTGGAGGTTCCCAATAGACAACGCTTAGCTCCTTCCCGTCATAGAAATGATTAACCTGATCCACAAGCTATGACGATCAGAGGAGGTCTGGTGCACAAGATTAATGAATCCCTAAACCACCTAAATGGTGAAACCACCCTCAGTAATTGGAGACTTTTGTATTTGTCCCAAATGGCACCCTATTCCCTTTATAGTGCACTACTTTTGACCAGGGCCCATAAGTAAAAAAATAGTGCAATATATAGGGAATAGGGTGCCATTTGGGATGCAACTTTATATCCGCACTTCCAGCCAGGTATGAAGACTTACCTAAACTGCAGATGCCTAATAGCTTGACTGGGGAGCTCCAGGAGTGGTACCTACGCAGCTGGTTCTTACATCAGCCTACATCCTTGCATCAACCAATGGCTAAGAAGATGAGAGGAGGGGTAGGCGTCTGGCGCCTTCTACTGGCCAAACTGTGAACTGTGACTTGCATTGTAGCTCATTAGTTACGCTGGCACATACTGTGTATGTGTTCTTTCTAGCTCAGTTGGTGGAGCATGGCACTTGTAACGCCATAGCAGTGGGTTTGATTCCCAGCACCACCCATATATATGTATGTATGTATGTATGTATGCATATAGGTGTTTTGGATAAAAGAGTCCGCTTAACGGCATATATTATTAAATGGCACCCTATTCCCTACACAGTGCACTGCTTCTGACCAGATCCCTATTGGCCCTGGTTAGTCTCATTGTGTTATTGTAGCGCATTGGTTATCCTCTCACATAATGGTATGTTACATCTGGGTCGTGTTCATTAGGAACTTTCCTGGTCATGCCTCTGATCTGGTGGACTCACTAAACACACATGCTTCGTTTATAAATGATGTTGCAGTGTGCCCCTGGCTATCCGTAAATTACAAAAACAAGAAAATCGTGCCATCTGGTTTGCTTAATAGAAGGAATTTGAAATCGTTTATACTTTTACTTTTGTACTTAAGTATATTTGAGCAATTACATTTACTTTTGATACTTGAGTATATTAAAAACCAAATATTTTTACTCAAGTAGTATTTTACTGGGTGACTTTCACTATTATTTGAGTCATTTTCTATGAAGGTATCTTTACTTTTACTCAAGTATGACAATTGGATACTTTTTCCACCACTGATAAAATGCGATGGTTTGGGTACTTTTTCCATCACTGATAAAATGTGATGGTTTGTCACGCCCTGGCCTTGAGAGCCTGGTTGTCTTTAGTTGGTTTGGTCAGGGTGTGAATTTCTATGTGTATATCTAGTTTTGTATATCTACAGTGGGGGGAAAAAATATTTAGTCAGCCACCAATTGTGCAAGTTCTCCCACTTAAAAAGATGAGAGAGGCCTGTAATTTTCATCATAGGTACACGTCAACTATGACAGACAAATTGAGCATTTTTTTTACAGAAAATCACATTGTAGGATTTTTAATGAATTTATTTGCAAATTATGGTGGAAAATAAGTATTTGGTCACCTACAAACAAGCAAGATCTCTGGCTCTCACAGACCTGTAACTTCTTCTTTAAGAGGCTCCTCTGTCCTCCACTCGTTACCTGTATTAATGGCACCTGTTTGAACTTGTTATCAGTATAAAAGACACCTGTCCACAACCTCAAACAGTCACACTCCAAACTCCACTATGGCCAAGTCCAAAGAGCTGTCAAAGGACACCAGAAACAAAAGTGTAGACCTGCACCAGGCTGGGAAGACTGAATCTGCAATAGGTAAGCAGCTTGGTTTGAAGAAATCAACTGTGGGAGCAATTATTAGGAAATGGAAGACATACAAGACCACTGATAATCTCCCTCGATCTTGGGCTCCACACAAGATCTCACCCCGTGGGGTCAAAATGATCACAAGAACGGTGAGCAAAAATCCCAGAACCACACGGGGGGACCTAGTGAATGACCTGCAGAGAGCTGGGACCAAAGTAACAAAGCCTACCATCAGTAACACACTACGCCACCAGGGACTCAAATCCTGCAGTGCCAGACGTGTCCCCCTGCTTAAGCCAGTACATGTCCAGGCCCGTCTGAAGTTTGCTAGAATGCATTTGGATGATCCAGAAGAGGATTGGGAGAATGTCATATGGTCAGATGAAACCAAAATATAACTTTTTGGTAAAAACTCAACTCGTCGTGTTTGGAGGACAAAGAATGCTGAGTTGCATCCAAAGAACACCATACCTACTGTGAAGTATGGGGGTGGAAACATCATGCTTTGGGGCTGTTTTTCTGCAAAGGGACCAGGACGACGGATCCGTGTAAAGGAAAGAATGAATAGGGCCATGTATCGTGAGATTTTGAGTGAAAACCTCCTTCCATCAGCAAGGGCATTGAAGATTAAACGTGGCTGGGTCTTTCAACATGACAATGATCCCAAACACACCGCCCGGGCAACGAAGGAGTGGCTTCGTAAGAAGCATTTCAAGATCCTGGAGTGGCCTAGCCAGTCTCCAGATCTCAACCCCATAGAAAATCTTTGGAGGGAGTTGAAAGTCCG